TGTTTAGACTTTAGAAATATAGAAAAAAAATGACATTGTACTCAACTTTAATTTTAAAAAGATGAATTTATGTCAGCTCTGGATAATTTGGCAGTGTTTAAGTAGGTGGATATCATGCCTGCTTTTATGAAGAAAAATTAGAACAATGCTGACAGCAAGAGAGAGTAACATCGTTTCTCTTCAATTAGCATTGCTACTTCAGAATTTTTTTCATGCCTTGTTTCTGTTTCAGTTGAAGAATTCTGTTTTTCTTAAACTTACCTATTGGATAAAATTCATTTGTTGTAGAACTCGAATCTGTGTGTTTTTTTCCTGTAGGCAATCATAGTCACTCGATCTAAAATTCAATAAAAGTAATAGCAGAAAATAGAAGTTGTAGGACATAAGTACAGGAGTCATTTGAGGTGTATTCTAATTGTGAGATAATCATTTACATGTTATGCACCAAATCGATTTTCAGCAATAGTCATTCACATTAATATTAGAGTTATTTAATACACATATTAAAACTAACATCTATATGAATGATTTTAAATTATATTTACATTGGTAGTTATATTAATATCTAAAATTATTCACATGAACGGTATTTTTAAAAATTTATTTAGTTATTGTCCAAGTACCATTTTCTGTCTTTTACTCCCGTCCCAGCCCCCGCCCCCAGTGCTCCCCACCTGAATGGTGTTAAATATATACTCAGAATGTAGAAGGGGGTCTCAGAGATTTTGGTGCACCAGCCCACCCACCACAGGAACTCTTTCCATAGTGCCCCATCTCTGTCTTTGCTGGGACGTTCGTGATGGTCATCTCCCTACCTTATACTGTTGTTTGCTATACTGCATGAAAAAGTCTGATTTTGAGCTAAACTCACCCATTTCTAGCTAGCAAAAGTGGTTAATAAGTTGTGTTAAAAATGGGATTAAGAGAATAGTAAAAGACAGGGAAGGGATCCTCAGGTGGTTTACAGCTGGGCAGAGGACCTCACCAAAGACACTGAATGCTGACCCAGGGAGGGGAGTCTTAGAAGCCACACGTGACGGCCCCAGGTTCCTGGCATTAGCAGTTAACCCCAGCCCCATCAGCTGCTAGCTTTCCACGCGCTCAGGAAACTGTTTGACAAACTACAAAGGACTCAATAGTTTGACTTTTAAGGATCAGGGTCATGTATTATCTTAGGTTCAAGACTGTAATTTTGTGTGTGTGTCTAGTGTCCGTTCATTAGCTACTTACACTGTTCTCACCGCTGTGAAACGGTTCAGTATGCTGAGCAAAGCCGAGGTGCCATAGCTGCACCGCCGAGGGTCATACCTCTCTCTTCCAGTTTGTAGCATGGTCTTCAGCATGACGTCTAACTTTTCTGTGCCTCCGTTTCCTGATCTGAAAAACGGAAATAAAATAGTACCTACTCCACTATGAGGCTTCAACGTATTAAAATTTTGGAAATGCTTTTTATTAGTGTGTGGTAATTACTCAGTAAATTTGGCTTCTATTAGAAAAGCTACACATTTCACTAGGACTTACACATTCTTATCTTAACTGGTGAGGATTTAAATACTTCAGTTATTGAGAGGTTTGATCTCTTAGTTTATGTATGTAGAGTCGATGCCTTAGCAGTGGGTTATAAAACACCACAGCAGCATGAATTGTGGGGACAGAGAAACGGTTTCTTCCTTCTGCTGAAATATTTCCTTCCCCTGACTCCAAGAATATCTCAGAAAAAGACAATCTTTTATTCCACATTTACGGAGAAACGATTTTAAAAGCACATGGTCTAGAATGTTACTTAACATAGTATACCTTGATTTATAACAAAATATTCATGGTTGTCAGATCCTCTTTAGTTTTGCAGAGGGGTAGACACAAAACGGGAAGATGTGGGAGTAGGGACAGCCGCGGAGAGGACACAGAGGGAGGAAGGGGAAGCCGAAAGCGCAGACGCGGGCTCACCACATGGATACTTTGTTTCTCAGGTCAGGCCATGTGGATTTCCAAAACAATCTGAGCCCAGCAGAGTTGGGCAAATGCCTTCCTTAGTGGGAAATAAGCCTGTGAATGTACTCTTCAGTCCTTTTTCTTGCTGCCCAGGTGTCCTCCTCTTCCGAGATGCTTTGAACTTTTAGATGATTCACTTTTACAATTGGATAAAAAAAAATGGTGCTCTTACCCCAATTTCTCAGGCCACCGAACTGAGCCCTTCTCACTTCTCCTCCTCAGTAGCTCCTTCCCCAGTGGACCCCACTGAATTTAAAAGCACCGCCATTCCAGGGTGCAAAGCAGGGAATCAGCTTCAACAACTCTGAAGTGGCTTTCAAGTCCCGTAGTGATCTTTGATAGGCTTGTCATTCACTACCTTGCTTCAGGCTTTTACTCTCTACATGAAAGACTCCTAATGGGTTCTGTGCTTCCATTTCTCCCTCTCTGGGTACCTCAAAATGATGTTCTGAAAATCCCAATCCACCATTTAACTCCTTGGTTTAAAAATCTCTGGTGCATCCTGTTGCCTAACACTGAAAAATGTATCTCATTAGCACATCTGACAAGGTCACTCCCGAACCCTGCTTAGCCTGAGGTTCATCGGCCGTACTTGCTCTACATGGCTCCAGAAGCAGCTCTGAGCCACCCGCTCTCCACAATGCGCTGTGCTCCTCACACAGGTCCTTCCACTCAGGCAGCTTATTCTCTTTCTAACTGCCCTTGTTCTCTGAGGATCTTTCAGGACCCTGACAAAATGTGACCGCTCTGTAATTTTCCTGACATTCCTCGGGAGAGCAGTTTTACCTTCTGTGCTCATGTGTTGATTACTGTACTTCTCAGAGAGTATTCTAATTTTATATCTATCTATCAACTCATCTATCTATCATCTCATCTATCTATCTTATCTATCATCTATCTATCTATCTATCTATCTATCTATCTATCTATCTATCTATCTATCTATCTATCTGGTCTTGTTTCCTGAGAAGGAAGGGTTTGAATCTCAAACGTGAGTAAGTGGCATGCCATAGGTGACACATGTTGATTGTTCAAGGACTTACCCCCCAGATTCCCCAGCTCCGCCTACTGAAATGCTGCTTTCTAAGGCCCAACTCAAACCCAGTCTCATCAGTGGTGGCATCGCTCATTCTCTTCCACCCAAATGCTTAAAAAATAAATAAATAAAAACCTATGGAAATTTCTTTCCTCTGATTTGGATTTTCTTATATCTTATCATTAAAAAAATCCTACATACTTTGATGGTAAGTTAATGGAAATGGAATCTCTGCGTCTTCCCTGGATCAGTGTCCCGTGTCCCATAGATACTTGGGATATTTGCTGAATAGAGTTAAGCCAAGGATAACTAACCCTTAGTGCAGCTTCTAAAAAGATATGGGTAACTCAAATAGTCTCTCTTCCAAAATGTTTTCCATAACATCAGTTTTATTTCACTGCAGATTGTGAGGACTGAAATTCTAAGAGGAAAACATATATTTGCCAAATTGAAGTTATCAGTAACTCACGTAGTAGGAAGGAATCCATTTAATCAGATTTCTTTCCTCTTTAAAGCTAGTTAATATTGGAGGATTGAAATGATAGAAAATTTGACTGAGGACCAGGAGGAAGGTGGACGGGGAGCAGAGAGAACTTAGGGTGAGGGTGAAATGGGCGGATTCTTCCTTAGGATTCTGGGGACAGTACAATGAGTACTGGTGTTAAGGGCTGTAATGAAGATTGTGCACGGGCGGTAAGATGATACCGGTGACAAATGCTACTTTTTGAAAATTTTCTAGTGTTAAGTTAAATAGAACTTTTTTGTTCCAGTCTGGCACCAGAAAGCAGCACGCAGGTTAGTCCTGATAATAATATGGTTCAGATACATTATAAGGCAAATGAACTTTCATGGGGACCTTAACATTTCTTTGATGATAAAAAGGTGCCCACATTTCACTGACTCTTCATAAATGCCTGGACCACCACCTGCTTCTGGGTGGGAGCTGCGTGAAATAAATTTATACACAATTGACTTTATTTTCATATCGACAAATTCCAAGGGTTGTATTTAATGTCTAATGTGAAAAAGATTTAATGTAAATAATCTCAGAAAAGGGAGGAGTTGGAAAAATGGTAGGCTAAGAAGTAAATAGACAGTAGAAATAAATGTGAAGAAAATTGGAAAAAAGCTATGTCAGAGTGAAATTGTATTATTTAAACCCCATGCCTGATGGTGACTAGAGAGGTTTATTCATATGGATGATGGCAAAATTTTACAAAAGGAGGAAATTAATTCTGGAAGATAGGTGGCTGAGGCATTGGGAAGAAAAAAAATATTTGGAAGTCATTGGCTCTCTTCCTGGGAGATAGCGTTGGCCAGTAGCTGATTTTAAAAGGTTAGCTCTTCTTCCCAAGTCTTCTGAACGACCATGGGCTAGGTTAATTTATACTCACTTTCTAAGAAAATGTTTCAACACTTAAAGGTTTAGCAAGGAGACCACAAAGTAAAGACATTACATACTTTTCCAAAGTAAACATTACTAATTGTAAATTTTCATCAAATGCAAGTGGAAGTAATTTTTCGTTTTTGTTTGCTTGTGTATTTTTTTTAACAGTTTCAAGATATTTCAAGAAAGGAAATTTTCATTTTACTAAGAGGCCCAACCATATATTTCGGGGTTCCCAAACTCCCCGTTCAGAACTGCAGACATAGTTTGATGTACATATGTATTTTTTTGAGGTGTGTCAACGTTTCATCAACTTCTCCAGTGTGTGTGTAATGGCCATGAAAAGTTTCAATTCCCTAACAGCAGGTCATCTTTGGGACGCCCTTCCATCTCTCAATGTGCAGTAGAATCTTTGTTCTTTAGACCCAATTTTTCATAAAGCCTTTTCTTGCACATGAACAAGAAGAGAGCATTTATGATGGACATGGAGGTGGCGCTCTGGGAAGCCGCTGGGAACGTGCTCTGCTCTCCGGGGCTGGGGACTGCGCGATGCCCTCAGGCCACCCCGGGGCCCTGCACCGGTTCTCACACAGGCGGCTCCGCGGGGCTGTCCAAGTGCGTCGGGAAGTGTAATCCCTCCTCTAAGTACTTGGCTCTCAGTCTCCAATCACTAGTGGGAGCTGGAGAGGGCAAGTAAAAAAAAAAAATTCCTGAGGCGGCCGAGTTGCAGAGGGAAAAAAAGTCCGGAGGCGGCGGCAGAGCGGCCACTGCAGCCAGAAGTTGATGGTCGCGGTGGTCATCGCGGCGCGGAGTCGGCGGGGCCTGCGCGGAGCCGGTTCGGGACGTCGGGGGCCGCGGCGCTGGGACAGGACGCGGTGCCGGTGCGGAGCAGCAGCGGAGGGTAAGCGAGGCGGGCGAGGCTGCGGCGGTTCCCGCGTGCGGGAGCCGGTGGAGCCGCGGGAGCCGAGCGGGCGGAGGGGGCGGTGCGGGGCGGGAGCGGGGCTCGGCGGCGGTGCCCCCGCAGGCGGGGGCGCTCGGGGGGCGGGCGAGAGCGAGCAGCCACCGCGGGGCGGCCGCGGGGTCGGGGCGGCCCCGGGCTTTGTGCGGAGGAGCCGCGCCGGGACCCGGGGCTCCCGCTGGAGCGGGCGCGGAGCCGCGGGCGCGCGGGACACGTGCTCCGGGGTCGGGGAGCCCGCACTCGCCGCCCGGAGATGCGGCGGGCGGGCGGGCGAGGCGCAGCCCGGGCATCGGAATCAGGACGCGGCGGGGAGTCCTCCCCGGGCGGCGCCGAGTCCCACGTCCCGTCCCGCGGAGCCACCTGCCCCGGCGCCGCGGGGACCCAGCCTCGGGCGCGGAGCCGGCGGGGTGGCCGGTCCGGCCGCTCGCCCTCCGCTGCCGCCGCCTGTCCCTCCTCCCCCGTCCGTGGCTCTGTCCCGCTCCGGCGCTTTCTTCTTTTCTGTTTTCTTCCTCTGTGCGCTTTCTTCTCCACCGCCCCCCCCCCCCCCCCCCCCCACTGTCTGTCTGTCTGTCTCCCGTCCCTTCTCCGTCTTGCCGTCTCTGTGTGTCCCCCTCTCCCACCCTCGTTTAGAGGCGGACTCTGCTCCTCGCCGCATTGTCTCTCTCGTGTCCCTCGCTCTCTGCCCCCTCAGTCTCCTTGTCCCCGTTTCGGTCTGTCTGTCCCTTGCGGTGTTAGGGTTTCAGACATCGAGACGATCCTCCGGAAGTTGTCTGGTGCCGTGTTTTCCCCCTTTTCAGCCGCCATCCAGGTGGATTCAGGGTCCTTCGTCCTTGTTTTCTATAGAATGGGAGCCCCGTGGTTTCCTTGAGTTGTTAGGAATTGTTCTAGTCACTCTTCCATCAAGGTGAGGTCAGTGCCTGGGCAGCCGCAGGGGTGTCAGTGGGACAGGGAGCAGCCCAAGAGAGCTGCTTAACTGCCCCCAACACGCGGAGAAAGTGCACCAAACCTCCCCACACCGAGGCACAGCCACCTGGGAAAAGGTCCCCGAATTCCGGACAAAAGCACAAAAGGCACCAGCACTAATGAAGAGGACTCAGCTAGAAAGTATTTGAAAATAATTTCAAAAAGCACTTATGGAAACTTCTTCCTATATTAAACTGATGCCAACTCATATCTTTTTTTTTTTTACATGTATTTTTTAGGATCCTAGTGACAACTTTCCTAATTATTGTTTTGGGAAAATTATGGGAAATGTCCTGTTTCAACGGGGATATTTGCCTGTAAGAAAATAGTCAGTCTTTGTACTCTTACACCTCTTTACACTCTGGTGATCAAGAAGAATTATTTCTAACTGCAAAGAAAATAGGAAAGGATTTGTCAGTAATTTTAAAACACGAGACATTCCAGAGATCAATACTTTCTTTGGAAAACTTTCACTATAAGGATGTTTTGAAGGATATTACATCTTAGTGAAATATGCACGTTATTATACACTTAGATCATTGTGCAATGCAAAAAAATAGGGTTGTGTGCTGTAAGCAAATCATAGTAGGGATGGTTTTTTTTTTTATGGGAAACATAGCGGGGAAATTAATTGCTCTGATTTTCACTGTTTTCTTTAGTCATGCATAATGTACCTTTGTTTTTAGCCAAATATGGCCCAGGGCTACAAAACTTGATACAGTGCGTTATTTGTCCAATCTAAGTTACCATTTAGAAAAACACCTTTTCCCTTTGCTCACAAGATATAAGTTGATATGATCTCATTACTCATGTGCTGGGGTCCGCTGATGAATTTTAATGGCACTGATTTGTGATTTCAAATCAAAATGTTAGTTTTTGGTGAGTTAAAATCTTGATTTATGTCACGTTAGTGAATCATCACCCTGTATGTGGGCTTTGCCACCTTGTCCGCCAGGTGCCGCGCAGCCCTCGGCCCAGGCAGGGCTGTCTGAAACTCCGTGTCCGCTGTGTCCCCAACTGACGTGCTGCCTCATGGCATGTGCACATACAATAAGCCCCTCAAAGTGTTCCAGTCCTTAAATAAGGTATAATAAAAGATGATTGACTTAATATTTTTCACATGCACTTTGAACACTGTGTGTGAAATGGCCTGATAAATTATTTTTATTAGAGTAAATGCTGATTTTATTATTTGCTTATAAGGCAATTTAAAATGTGGTATCTTTTGGTACATAGAGCAACCTCCACTCTTCCTCAGCACTGGACTCATATTTATCATCTGAATATAAAGTCCGTTGTCTCCTACTCCAACCTAACAAAGCCTTTCCTGGTTTTCATAGGCCCCCTCATGGCTGCCTGTTATGCTTCTGAACTCACCTCTCAGCATTTACCTCTCTGCTGTGTAATTACTTGTGGGGCTCTTCCTCACTGGGGTATTTTCTCATTGAGCTGGGATAGTATTCCTTTTCTTTTTTTTTCCTCTGAATTGTGGAGACCCAGCTGAGTACCTGGCATGTGAGAGATAAAAAACCCTTGAAGGATGATTTGTTCTCTTCCAATTTGTCTCTGACTTTTGATGTTAATTCTTTGTAGTTGTAGTAGCTTAAGGGAAATACTTTAGCACAGAGTAGTCACAGATCACAGAGTGAGGGATGAGAAGAGTCTTAGAAAGCACCTTATCACACTCATTAATATTAAAGATGAAGTGGATGAAGCCCAAAGACTCTGAAAACCATGCTCAGAAAGAGACAGTGAAGCCATATGGGCTGTGGAGCTGAGACCTTGTGCTGTTTTTCACTGGGCTACACTTCTTTTCACTGGACCCATATTTGCTTTCTTTCACTGGAAGTGGTTGAATCTGTTATTAGAGGCTAACAATTATTAGCTCAATACTAAAGATTTCTTCTCATGCCAACTGGTAAAAGTCATTTATGAAATTTATCAACCTGCTGTAACCGGTCATCATTTGTTACATGTGTGTGGAGCTAATATGTCTTTCAGAACACAGTTTCTAAGGGCTTTTATGTTTTGAGTACTGTGTAATCTTGGGCAGACGTATTATTTCTACCTGCGAAGAAGATTTAACTTCTTGAGACTTATTTTTTTCTCCTCTATAACTTTCCGCCTGTGTGTTGAAGGGGGTGGGGAGAAAGGGAAGTTTGGACCAGATTAGGGGTTCTTTTTCAAGTTTTTCTTGTGTAACTTTGGGAACAACTGCAAATTCATCTGTTTTACATATCTGACTTCCCTGTGAGCTTTTGTTTGAAAGAGGCTACCACAGTTTTAAAAAGTCTTGAAGACCACTTCACTTGATGTTTTCCAATCTTCCTTCCAGTTCTTCAGTTACATAATCAAGATAATTTCCAGCTTTTAAATCTGGGTGTCTGGAGGATTTGTGAGAAAAATATTAAGGATACAAGGAGAAACTGATTTTGCATCAGAGATACTCATTTCAGGTTTCCATATGCTAGATTTGACCCAATGGCGGAAATTGAAGAAGTGTTGCCATGTATAAATGTAGGCCAGAATTCAGGGGAGAGAGGGGCCATGGCTAGAAATACAGATTTAACAGTCATTTCCATGGAATTAATGATTAAAGTTAAAGAAAACTAAAATTTTTTAGGAATCTTAAAAACAAAGTCAATGAAGATTTAGGGGTGGACAAGAGGGACATTTTATGATACTTCTGAATGTATTTTTTATTTTTATTTCTTAAAGATTTTATTTATTTATTTATTTTTAGAGAGGGGGAAGGGAAGGGGAAAGAGAGGGAGAGAAACATCAATGTGTGGTTGCCTCTTGAATGCCTCCTACTGGGGACCTGGCCTGCAACCCAGGCATGTGCTCTGACTAGGGATTGAACCTGCAACCTTTTGATTTGCAGGCCTGCGCTCAATCCAGTGAGCTACACCAGCCAGGGCAAAAAAAGAGTGTTGTTTTTTTTTAAAAGAGAAGTGAGGGAGAGAAACATCAATGTATAGTTGTCTCTTGTGCGCCCCCTGCTGGGGGCCTTGCTGCAACCCAGGCATGTGCCCTAGACTGGGAATCCAACTGGTGACACTTTGGTTCGAAGGCTGGTGCTCAATCCACTGAGCCACACCAGCCAGGGCTGGATATTTTTTTAAACCTCATCTATAGTATTATGATAAAAAAGGTAATATATAATTTGTATCAGTCATCTGTTTTCATGATTTTTAGAGCATCCACTTAACATGCTGGTTATCTTAAGTACATTCACTTTTAAATGTTCAAGTGCCTACTCTCTGCCTGTCAGTATTACATTGACACTCAGAGACATTGAACTTGCATTCTAAAGAGTGAAAACACAATGGATTATAAACAAGCACACCCGTAAGATCAGTTCTAGTAGTGACATTGTCATGAGAAAAACAAGATACCGTGATATGACAACGAGTGACTGGGGCTACTTGGTGTGGTGGGATGGCCAAGGAAGGCCTCTCTAAGGATGTTCTGAACAAGACGAAAGAGTCATCCCAGAGAAGGTCTGGAGAACTTCCTGGCAGAGGGAACATCAAGGCCGTCTCGGAAGGAGCAGCAAGCTGGGTGCACATTGCAGTCAGGCCATCAGAGGAAATGGTGGGAAAGGGGTCAGGGAGATAGCCGGGCCCATGTTATGAAGTATGCGTTTGACTCAAAGTACATTTCGTTTAGTTACCCTGGAGGATTTTAAACCGAAAAGTGAACAGATCTGGCTTAGCCTGTCTGTCTATAGTATGAGCAAGAGTGTCTGAAGGGAGATGAGGTGGGAGAGGCTGCGAGGAGGATCTAGCTGAGAGTTTGGTGGTTTGGTCAGGGGTGGAACCTGGAGAGACTGATCCGACATTGTTCTTATCACCAAATGAGTCACCGAGTTGAATCAGGCTCCCCCGCCCCTTTCTTTTTTCTTCCTTTTTTTTTTCTCTTTTGCCTTGATCTGCACTACAGCAACCCACTGGTTCAACAGTTGCTTTTACTTTTAAATTGCAGACCTCAGTACCTCACAGTTCCCAGATGTCACACAAAGTTTGTGTTCTGGTTACAAAGAAAAGGAAGCAAATCAGAATTCTCTAATCAGGTTTGAGTGTCATTTTTCTCTACCCTTCAGCTTTGAAAACTTCACAAGTTTCTGGAAAGATTTCACTGTAAAATCCCGTTGTTAGATCTGGAACTCACCCTCCATTGCATCCAGGTCCTTTGTGGTACATGGTAGAGATTCAGTAAATATTTGTGGAATGTTGTTGGATGTAGTCTGTTAAGACCCATAGCTTTGATTCAGCTGACTTTTATTTTTCCTTTCAACACATATATGGCTCCATGTGCCTTCAAC